TACCCCCACACAGCTGGCTACAGTTCAAGTCCTGGACCTGGAGGCTCACTTTCTTGCTTTCCCTCTCTCTCTCTATCTGTCTCTGGTCAAATTAAAATAATAATTAAGGTTAAATAAAATTATTTTTTAAAAAAACAGATTTTTGCTATAGGGTCCATGCACTTGCTGGAGAGACAGACATAGACAGAGAAAAATAAGGTGAAAAATCACCCCCCCTCCCCGAAGGATGGCCATGCCACAATCCCTTCTCCTCCATTCTCCTCCTGGGATTCAGAACATGCATACACATGGATCTGGTGTGATTTTTTTTTTTTTAGATAATTATTTTAATTTAACTTTCTTTCTTTCTTTAATTTGACCAGAAAGTGACACACAGAGAGAGAGAAATCAAGCCTCCAGGTCCAAGACTCAAACTGCCATCAGACATGTGGGAGTCCACCATACCACCTACTGGCCCCCGACCTGGTATTAATTTTAAGCTGCTGGATCCAGAACTCGAACTTCAGTTGGCCACATGGGAGTCCAGCACCTTAAACTCTATGTTACCTGCTGGCCCTTCATGATGTAAACTGGTCAAATTAAAAATCAATGAATGAATAAATAAAAATTAAAATAAATAGTTATTAAAATAATAAATAAACAGGCAGTGAGCTGGATTCAGCAGAGGTCACAGTTTTGATTCCTTGTGTAGATGAGGTGACAGGTTAAGAAAAGCTAACTGTGGGGCTAGCAGGTGGCATGGTAGCTATGGCACTGGACTCCCACATGGCTGACCAAGGTTCAAATATTGGACCTCATGGCTTGCTTTCTCACTTTCCCTCTCTCTCTGTTTCTCTCTAGTGAGCACATGTGCCCTATGGCAAATTAAAAAATAATAATAAAAATTAAATAATTATTTCAAAAAAATAGATTCTGTTGCACAAATAAATGAATGATAAATGAGTGAATACACATGCACCAATTATGGCCTCAGTATGCTGCAGGATATGATACTAAGTACGCTTTGGACAAGTTTATTAGTCAGTTGAGAACAAACAGTAAACAATAAAAGAATGTGATACATCTTGATCAAGTTAATGGTGCAGACTTTTTTAAAAAGTTTATTTCTTTGGAGAGAGAGACACCTCCAAAAGTGATCTACCCCAAGTCTGAGCCAACCTGAATAACCCATGCATCTCGGGACCTAGACCTAGGACCCTCTCCTGTGCCTAGCATCACCTGGTGTTACCACTATGCCACTGTTCAGCCCCCCAATGGCACAGTCTAGGTGTGACATAAAATAGAGACAAAAAAATAAGAACAACGTATTTTTTGTTTGTTTTAGGTTTTTGTGGTGGGGTGTCCTTGCTTGCCAGAGAGAGTGCGAGGGAAAAACCGCGGTGGGCCGTGTGGGAGTCCAGTGCCGCAATAAAGAATGCCCTCACTCCTGAGTATTCGGAAAGGTACTCAGTGAGGCAGTAAAGAGCAGAAGCTAAAACAGAAACGGACACGGCTGGTGAAGACCACGAGCCAGAAGCATTTTTTAGAGCAGAAATAGTTTGCTGACCCTTCAGTACTACTCTTCACACACTTCCAAGTCTTCAATGTTAACAAAAATAAATCCAAGGGATCATATTTCAAATCAGCTCATAACAATCAAAACTCTAGTTACTAATGTTTAAGTGTAGAAGAAAAATACCAAGTCTGTGGAAATGTCAGCTGTCCAGCTTCCTAGCACTCAGGGTACGTGTGACAGGGAAGAGAAGGTGCGTAAGGCTGGCTGGCTCAGGATCGTAAGGGGATAAGCCTAAGGCCTGTAATAATCCGGCTTGGCAAGCAGAAATGCTGACCTGTTCCAGGTTAGCGGCAGTAAAAAGGAAATAGACGGGGCTAGCAGGTGGAGTGGTGATTAATGTGCTAGACTCCCACATGGCCACGCCCCAGACCCAGCAGTGGAGAATCACTCAGAGCGCATGTGCATGCAAGCCCAAATCCAGAGAGAACAAAGGAGAAGGGACTGCAGTGTGCCCCACCACGGGGTGATTTCTCACTTTGCCTCTCTTTATCTCTCCAGCAAGTGCACATACCCTAAAGGAAGGAGGGTGGGAGGAAGGAAGAAAGGTGGGGAGAGGAGAGGGGGAATGTGAAAAAAGTTTCAGGTAGAACCAACAGGCCTTCACAACTACTCATACGGGAGGGAGACAAGAATCAAAGATCATTTACTAAAAGGACAGAGCCTAAGTCACAGAGAGACGAGTGATGTCATTTTAAAAAGTGGAAAGTCAGAAGGAAGATCAGGAAAAGCTGCAAAGGGAGAGAGGAGTCCGATTTAGGGTACAATGTGTTTAAAGTACTGGTGAGATACATTGTTTCCACATTTGGCTGGCAAGTGGTAACCTGAAGTGGCTCTCAAGAAAGCCTTAAGTGGGACCAGCATATGGCATAATGGTTACATCACTGGACACTCAAGAAGTTGACAGTGATTCCAGTCCTGGACTTGGCAGCTTAAACCTCACACCAGGCACACATACATGCATGCCCTGAAGGAGAAAGGGTTACGGCGTGACCAGCCCCCAACGGGGGTGATTTCTCGCTGTCTCTCTCTCTCTGTGTCTCCAGTGAGCACATGTGCCCCATAGCAAAAATCTCTTAAAAGAAAGAAAAAAAAGAAAGCCTTAGGAGGACTTACCCTTAGACAGAAAGGGGTTATCTATATGATTATTTCTTTCTTTAAAAAATAATTATTTATTTAATTCCATTCATCATTATTATTATTCATTTTTAATTTGACCAGGGAGAATCAGAGAAAGAGAAAGGGAAAGTGAGAGAACAAGCTACCAGGTCCAGGACTTGAACCACGATCAGCCATGTGGAAATCCAGAGTCTTTAGCCACCATCCCACCTGCCGGTTCCCTGAATGGTTATTTCTAACACTGCACAATTATCTGTTGCCTCCCACAGGCCTATGAGCTACTTGATGACAAAGATTAAATCATATTTTTCTTAACTACCCCGAGATTCATTCAGTGTTCTGAGGCAGTTAACACAGTGCTCCAGGTTCCGGGCTCCAATCTCACCACTTATTTGCTGTATGAATCTGGATGAGTTAGTCACGTATCTCTCTCCCAGTTGCTTCACCTATAAGTAGGGATAGGGATAATAATATTAGGTTGTCAGGACAGTCGTGACATACATTTCTGTTTTTCTATACAAAAATGTGTCATGCCTTTCCTGATGACCCAATAGTATTGCCTATCTCATAGCGTTAAGAGGATTAAATTTGTTATGATGACATTACTGTTAACTTTCTGAAGAATCAGATGAGACTGGTTTAATAAGATGGATAAGTGAGGACCTTCAAAGAAGCTATTTTATAGTCATTCCCAAACAAGATCTCCATTTTCAGAAACTTTGCAATATGTTATAGAGAACAAGGGATAAGTGTCCTATAGCTATTTTTTAAAGATTTATATATTTAATTTTATAATTATTATTTTTAATTGGACCAGAGAGAGAAAAAGGGGATGGTGGGGGAGGAGGGGAGAGTGAGAAAACAAGCTGCCGGTCTGGGACTAGAACCCCAGTTGATCATGTGGCAGTCCAGCACCTTACGTACCACACCACCAGCCAGCCCCGGATTTTTAAAAAAATATACCACACGAGTAAAGACTGCAAAGCGGAAGAAATGAGAAACAAAAGATGCTGCATACATCTTTTAATAAGTCTGCCACTAAGAGTCTAGTACCAGCAGATGGAGCCCCATAACCACATTTTTGTGACCCCTTTCCTTTCTCCTCAGTCATGCACTGAGTATGAAGAAAGAGAAATCTAGACAGCCTTCAAAGCTCATTTCCCCCAATTCCAGTGGTTTGATAATGTTCTAGTCCAGCAGATCTCAGTTAACACAACTAAGAATAGGCTCACTTCGGCTGCTGAGGTCTGGAGGTGACCACCTTCCTGGCCAGGAGGTTTCCACTGTTCTGTAGACACCTGGATGCTTGGATGCTCCTTGCCATGTTTTAGGAGTGAGGTCACAGTTTACTTAGACACTAGTCATGCTGAGTACGGTCTAGCCACCTCTCTCTCCCTCTCTCTCTCTCTCTCTTTCTCCCCCTCCCTCCCTCCCTCCTTTCCTCCCTCTTTGGTCAAATTAAAATAAAAAAAAAACAACAACAAATGAATAAAGTTAAATTTAAAAATTACTTTTTTGTTTTTTGAGAGGTTTTCGCTATAGGGTGCCTGCGCTTGCCAGACAGACAGAGAGAGACAGAGAGACAGAAAGCGAGAACTCACCCCCCAGGGGGGATGGTCACACCGCAATCCCTTCTCCTCCATTCTCCTCTTGGGATCTTGGGCACGCACGCACACGCGCCCGGCGTGAGCTTTAAGCCACCAGGTCCAGGACATGATCGACTACGTGGGAGTCCAGTAACATAGCCATTACACTAACCGCTGGTCCCTAAAAATTACTTTTTAAAAAAGATGTATACCCAAGCTGTTCTTTTTTTTTTTTTTGGAGAGGTTTTCACTATAGGGTGCGTGCGCTCGCCAGACAGACAGAGAGAGACATAGAGACAGAAAGAGAGAAATCACCCCCAGGGGGGATGGTCACGCCACAATCCCTTCTCCTCCATTCTCCTCTTGGGATCTTGGGCACGCACGCACACGCGCCCGGCGTGAGTTTTAAGCCACCGGGTCCGGGACGCAAACCGTGGTCGACTACGTGGGAGTCCAGCGACATAGCCATTATGCTAGCTGCTGGTTCCCTACCCATGCTGTTCCCGAACAGAGAGATTCTATAATGAACCCAACAATACAGACAAAACAAATATTCTTGTGCTTGTATGTAAATCATACTTAATTAGTAGCAAAGATTAGAAAGAACTCAAATTCCAACCAAGTGGGGCATAATTTTAAAGTACTTCCCAAACATACAGAGTATACAAGTAAATCCTTAAAATACATGTAAAGTTGGTGATATAGGTATCAAGAGATTGCCTCCAAGGAGCAGAAAAGATGGAAGAACATCGGACTGAGAAGCTTTCCTCTTTCACAACTCTTTGAATTTAGCAGCTCTTCAAATTAGAAGAGATTTTGAAAGGTTAGAAAAATTCACCCCACCACCTGTCAGATCACCCCATCTTAACTCTTTGAAAACCTTTACCACATTTTCTTAAACTCTTAATTTTTATCTTATCTTTCCCCATAACTTTAGAGAAAGTATGCCCCCACGAAGTAGGAATTTTGTCTGCCTGGTTCATCTAGTAGCATTCAGAACCTAAACAGGATACACCTAGGGCCGAGGGCCATTCAATGTACATTTGCTCAATAAACCAAAATCAGTTTGCCATCTTAACTTCCTCCTCCAGAATTCCGAGTGTGGCGACATTGCTCAGCGTTTTCATTACCATTTAGTCTGTCCGTCTACCGGAAATGCTCACACTGACCTGTTTCTGTGGGGCTAACCCAGCAGCCTGGGGCTATCTGGGAGCACAGACTTCAGGGTCTGGCAATCAACTGACATTAAGTTTCCCCCTGAATCAGTTTAAACCACAGACACCACCAGAGAGGCCCAAGGATCACTGGGGCTGGGCTGCTCGGAGCACAGACTTCAGGGTCTGGCAATGACATTAAGTTTCCCCCTGAATCAGTTTAAACCACAGACACCAGCAAAGGCCCAAGGATCACTGGGGCTGCTCAATGAAGAGCACAAGACTCAGCTGGGAGAGTGCAAGCCACCTGCAAGGCCTTTGCCTCGCCGAGTTAAGACACGGGTCAGAAAAGCCGCAGGTGCGGCCGCGCGTCTCCAACCCCGAAGGACACAGAAGACTGACAGCACGTGCACCGTGAGCGCTGCCACCCCCACCCAACTCAAGGCCACCCTGCTGCCCACGAGCCACACCAGGGCTGCGTGCATCACCCTTGTGTCGCTGGCTCCCAGCCCCACGCCCGCGAGGACGAGCCGGAAGAGGCCGACCAGCGGGAGCGGGCATTCGCAGCCCCCGGTGCCCACCAGCGGGAAGCGCCACACACCTCCGCCGTGGCTGGGGCCAGGTTGTCACCACGGAGGTGCCCTCTCCTTTCCTAGCCTCTCTCAGCCTGACCCCGGAAGGCCCCGGCGGGTGCTCGCCGCTCGCCTCACCTGGGCGCGGCCATGTTGATGGAAGTGGCACTACATTTCCCATGAGCCAGCGGGGCGGCAGCCCCCACAGTCCCCTTGCCTCCCGGAGCTCTGCACCGCCGTTTCTCCGCCGAGCGTCCTTGCGCACCGCTCTCTGCTACAGTGAAAAGTCGCACGTCTTATTTCAGGGAAAAGAAACGATGGAGAGGGCAGCTTATTTTTATGGGTCCCTTTGCAAATGGACGACGTCAAACAGATTTGTGTCCTTCAGTCCCCCAACTATGGGCCCTCCCATATTGGGCTCCTCCTACATCCTACTTCCTAAATCTTGCTGGGAGTGACGGGAAAAGATTACAGAGTCTGAAAGATATTATCTATTAAACAACATTAGGAGAGGACATCGTTTTGGACTGAGCTCCTGCATCAGGCCCCATCAGACCAAACCAAAATGGAGTCTCTTGGGCTAAATGTCACATAACCAAACTAAAACTTCAGAGAAGCAAATAGATCTCTAACAGGTCCATTTTCCCTGAAAAATAGGAGATTCCTATCTACCTATAATAAGGAACTCATCTCTGCTCTAACCATTACACAAAAGTAATCTGAAGTAACTGTTACCTACGAAGCTTTTTTCTATTGTCTACTTCCTGTTCCCACCTTAGAAAAACCACTAGTCTACTATTGCCTTGGGGGTGCTTTCATTCTGTTTTTTATAGGATAAAGGCTTCCCTATTCATGAAACTTGAATATAAGTCAATTAGGTCTATCACTAAGTTTGTTATTATTCTGTCTTTTGATAAGTCATGAGAAGAGGGATGTGAAATACTATGAAGTGCCTGGGAATCGTGAGTATCTCAGAGTAATAGAAAGATGAGTGGAAGAATGTCCAAGGAGGAAAAAAAAAAGTAGGGTGCTTCCTGATTATTAGATACCCTAAGGCCATTCTATTATGCAGGCCCAAGGGAGGTCCTAGAAAGACTAGAGAAAATGAGTGACAGGACCAGAGCTGCTGATAAAAGGTGGCAGAGGACTAGAAGTATTACAAAAGTAAGATGGCAGTTGTAGTGTTAAAGTAAAAAGTAGCAAAATACTGAGACACAGCAGCAGCAGAGAAAAAGGAAAAAGATTTGGTAACAGCTCAGAAATATTGATAAAGGTCATAGGAGAGGGGGTGCTTAGCACTTGTTCCTGCTCAAATGCTATTTGTGATATGAATGTACCATAATCACTATTTGCCTTGAATTATGGGCTGCGTGGGAGTAAGGAAGGAACCATGAGAGTAGTGGTGAGGGGAATCGTTTTTCCTACAGTGCTGATTCAACACCTCCACCCATACCCCTATCACAGTGGATGGACCATTAGTAAAAGTTGAGGCTGGCTGTTCAGAAAGGTAGACATTGAAAAGAAAGTGTTGTCGGGACTAGCAGTTAGCGTAATGGCTATGTCGAGGGACTCCCACGTAGTCTACCATGGTTCGAGTCCCGGACCTGGTGGCTTAAACTCACGCAAGGCGCGTGTGCGTGCGTGCCCAAGATCCCGAGAGGAAAATGGAGGTGAAGGGATTGCGACGTGGCCATCCCTCCTGGGGGGTGATTTCTTGCTTTCTGTCTCTCTGTCTCTCTCTCTGTCTGTCTGGCGAGTGTACATGCCCTATAACAAAAACCTCTCCAAAAAAAAAGAAAGGAAAAAAAAAGTGCTTCAAGTGGAGGAATGATCTGTATGAAGAATAGGTTAGAAGAAAGAAAATAAGTCAGAAGACAGGCAACCATAACATTTGCCCAGGAAAGAAAGGGTAAGACCAAAACTGAATCGCAAAAGTGAGGACACAGGTGCAAACTGGAGAAGTCACAGTGACCAGACATTGTAAAGTACTTGGGTGCAAGGGAAGGTCTGTCTAATCTCCCCCGTTGCAGTCTTGCTGCTTCTGCACTTCTGGATGCTTTCAAAAACACATCCTGGGGGCTGGCAGGTGTCATGGTGGTTAAAGGTGCTGGACTCCCAGATGGCCAACCATGGTTCAAGTCCTGGACCTGGTGCTTCCTTTCTCACTTTTCCTCTCTCTCCTTTTTCTCTCTATCTCTGATCAAACTGGAAAATAATAATAAATAAAAGTTAAAAGTAAAATAATTCTTAAAAAAAATCATAGTAGAATGTTCTGCAATGATGAAAATGTTTTATACTCTGAGCTGTCCAATATGGTAGACACCAGTGACATGTGGCTTTTGAGTATTTCCAATGTGGCTATTACAAAGGAACTGAGGGGCCGGAAGGTGGTGTGGTGGTTAAGGGTGTTGGACTCCCATATGGCTGACTGTTGTTGAGTCCCAGTTCCTGGCAGCTTGCTTTCTCACTCTCTCTCTCTTCCCCACTCCCCTAGTCAAATTAAAATAAATAAGTAAACGAATAAAGTTAAATTAAAAAAGGAATTGATATTTTGAACATTTAAAATTTTACTTAGTTTTTAATTTAAATTTAAATAACTGCGTATGGCTGGTGACTACCAAATCAGATAATAAGGGGAAATATCCCCTTACGTCCTATTGGTCAAATTCAGTAATAGTACTTTATCTTGGTATCTGTTCTGCTCGAAGGTACTTAAGCTTTTAAAATTTAACTGAAAGGACCAGCAGATGACATGATGATTACATTGCTGGACTCCCACATAGCTGACTACAGTTCAAGTCCCCAATCATGCTGGACAAATGTGCATGCATCCTCAAAACCCCAAGAGAAGAATGGAGGAGAAGGGATTGCAGCAAGGTCATACCCCCTGGGGGTAAATTTTTGCTTTCCATCTCTCTGTCTCTCTGGTGAGAACAAACGCCCTATAGCAAAAATCTAACAACAACAAACGTAACTGGGGCCAGATGGTGGCACAAATGTAAAACACAAGAATTGTGTTTCATGGAAGAAAAGAAACTGAAAAATGATTTTCAGCTTCTAAGCTTCCGTGAAACTGCTCTTTTTGCTCTCTTACACCTGCTGGCCACTTGCTGTCAGAGCCGTCCACTAGCATCTCCCTTCATAACCGAGTACAGGCAAGCTCTCAGGTTGTGTGATTTATCCTCTTCTCTGACTCTAGTCTTTTCCTGTTGGCCCTCCACAGAGGGCCTCCAGGAGATCTGTGGCTCAGTCCCTAATCTTTATCTTCACCCACAATTTCCCTTTAGGAAGCAGTTTGGTTTAGTGAAAAGGAATACAGGCAAAAAAGAAAGAAAGAAAAGAAAGAAAAGAAAATGGGCTCTGGCTTATGAACTTAAGTATAAACTGCAAAACAATAGTTGTTTTCTGGGATTGGTGTGATAATTAAATAAAAACCATATATAGGGGACTGGCAGGTAGTATGGTGGTTAAACACCTGACTCCCATGTGGTCGACCACAGGTGACATCCCGGACCTGAGGGCTTGCTTTCTCACTTGCCTCTCTCTCTCTCTCCCTCTCTGGTCAAATTAAATAGTAATAATAAATTAAGTAATTATTTTTTTTAATATCATACATAGAGTAACTATTAAATGGTAGTTTGTTCCTTTTCTCTTCTTTTGTTCCTGGCTTACAACCCCAAATGTCTGACCATCTCCTGTCACTGTGTCTCAATATCCTTAGAAAAGCATGAATACACACAAAATTTTGTATGCAGGCTTTTGTACGCAGGCTTTTATATGCAGACCCATATCTTTTCTTGGAGTATCTCATAAACCATGTGTCCCAAAGTGGATGACTCCCTGAATGATTCTCAGCTACACTGAGACCCTGTTTTATTCATTATGTAACCCCAGCGCCATCCTCCCTGGGGGGTGATTTCTCACTTTGTCTTTCTGTCTCTTTCTCTGTCTCTCTGGCAAGCACATGCCTTACAGCAAAATTCTTTCTTAAGAAATTAAAAATAAAAAGTATAATAGAGCAGCTCCCTCGTATTTGTAGGGTATACTCTAAAACCTTCAATGGATGCCTGGAACTATAGATAATACCAAGCCCAATAGCAGTCAGTCAGAATGTATGTTTTGTTCATGTGTTTCACCCACAAGTGGAATGCCTTTCCATCGTGAGTAGTCATCGTGCACTGTAGCGTAACTTCTGCAGTTTGAGGTACAACAGCAAACCTGCATGAAGTTCTTCTTTTTCTTCCTCACACTTTCACTAACAAATATTTGTTCTCACCATAGATCTTATCGACTTTTTTCTTTCCATATTAATGTTTTTTTTTTCACTTAAAGTGAGCAGTTTATGACTTCTCTTTGGCATTTAAAAAAAGAATTATTTATTTATTTAATTTATTATTATTATTTTTAATTTGACCAGAGAGAGACCAAGAGAGAAAGGGAAAATGAGAAAGCAAGCCACCAGCTCTGGGACTGGAACTGCAGTCGGCCATGTGGAAGTCCAGTGCCTCAACTACCACGCCATCTGCCAGCCCCTCTTTGGCATTTTTGAATGTCCAGCATCACTGCTCTTGTACTTTGGGGCCATTATTAAGTAAGGTTAGGTTCTCAGTCATGCGCACTGTGAAATCACAGCACCCAAAGTGGCTAAAGGGTGGCTGATGTCAGCTGGTGTGGAGGCACTGAATTAAGAGATGATTCAGGGTCCAGGCAGGCCCGGGAAGGACAGAGCAGGACTGTGTGAGATTTCACCACGATACACAGATCAGTGTATTTCTTTAAAGAGAGATTTTTGCCATGGGTGCATGTGCTTGTCAGAGAGATGGAGAGAAACAGAGAGACAGAAAGCAAGAAATCGCCCCCTATGGGGGATAGCCACACTGCAATCCCTACTCCTCCATTCTCCTCTTGGGATCTTGGGTATGCCCATTGATGGCTATTTGGCTTGGTATTATCTATAGTTTTGTGCCCAGTGTATGTTTTAAGCCACCAGGTCCAGGACTCAAACCATGGTCAACAACATGGGAGTCCAGTGACATAACCATTATGCTATCTGCTGGTCCCCAGTGTGCAATTTAAAACTTGGGAATTGTGTATTTTTGGAATTTTTCATTTAATATTATTGGACATTTAGTTTCAATAGTAGGAAACTGGTCCGAAAGCTTAAACAAGTACTGGGTCAGC